TCTAAACGTGAGATCTCCCCCTTAACTATACAACTCAAATTCATGTATGAACCCAACTTTGCGAGAGCATTAAAATCGAGTCCACCGTAGCGTACGACTCAAAAAATTAGAAATAGGTTAACTTGACCCCAAAGGACGGACGACACCGTTTCATTCTCACTCCTGCACAGACGAAGGCACGGTATGAAACTCTTTTCCTCTCCTTCCAACCTACAGAGCAGCTTCTTTAGCTTTGGACTTCTAGAGAGAGAGATGGAGGAGACAGACCGATGAAGAAACTACTCATACTCTACGCCACCCAAACCGGAAACGCCTTGGACGTCGCCGAGCGCAGAGGCTGCCCCATCCACCTTCTCTCCCTCGACAAATACGACGCCGTATGCTGCCTTCCACCCCATTCGATTTCCCTTCTGTTCTTCTGATGAACAGCAACAATAATAATAATACCCTAAGGGTAGTACTATCCTTAGAAAAATATTTCGTATCAGATTCTCGACTTAAACACCATCGCGTGTGATTATTATCTTATTTTAAATTACAATATGTGCATTTGATTTTCCTTTTCGAGCAATAAAACTAATGCATCCTAAAAATCTGTGAAATTTTATTTTTATTAATATATTTTTAAAATAAAACATTTCTGTTTTATATCTTGCTCACATAAAACGATGGATAAAGTATAAGAAAAATCAATAAAAAGAGATTCAAATCTTTGCATTTTAATCAAAAGAAATTTACTAACTTTATTTAATGATTATGACAAAATAACAAAATAAAATAAAAACATAAAAAACACCACATCAGCGCATACACCCCACCACATATCCATTAAGACATTATTATTATTATTATTATTATATTTTTAAAATAAAACATTTCTGTTTTATATCTTGCTCACATAAAACGATGGATAAAGTATAAGAAAAATCAATAAAAAGAGATTCAAATCTTTGCATTTTAATCAAAAGAAATTTACTAACTTTATTTAATGATTATGACAAAATAACAAAATAAAATAAAAACATAAAAAACACCACATCAGCGCATACACCCCACCACACATCCATTAAGACATTATTATTATTATTATTATTATTATTATTTTGCTTGGTATAAGAAAAGATTTCAAAGTGAATTACATTTCTCAGTTTTATTTCTGTAGTGTCGTTTCCCAATAGTAGTCAAGCTGACGAGAGATTTTTCAATGTGTTCGGAACACGGGATGATACACCACATCTCTATACAAGTGGTGAGATTTTTTGTTAAAAAATAAATTTCTCACCATTTACATAATAACACATGGTGTAGAAAGTTAAGATTGTGGGTGGAGGAGAAGAGGAAGCCGCAAATGGGAGGACAATTGAAGAAAATTAAGTAATTGGTGTAGAAAGTTAAGAAATTGAAGAGATACAAAGAAAATTTGATGAGTATCGAAGAAAATTAGAAGAAGAAAATGTGTTTGGAAGGTGAGAATGTGCCAAGAAAATTCAAGAAGAGGAGAGAGAGGAATATAGTACCGTTAAGTTTCATAAACAATATAGTATCGTTAAGTTTCAAAAATAGTGTAGTGCTGTTAAATTTCATAAACAGTGTAGTACCTTTAAGTTTCATAAACAGTGTAGTAAGTTTCATAAACGGTGTTCTAAGTTTTATAAACAGTGTAGAAAGTTTCATAAACAGTTTGTATGAGGTCGTGCGGGTCTGCGCGTCAAATTTTTTTTTAATATTAAAATTATGTTTTTTTTCATTAAATTAAGTTCTTTTGTCCTTTTTGTTAAATTTAAGAGTTTTTCATTAAAATTTAAGTTTTTTTTTTCATTAAATAAAGGGCCTAATTGGATAAAGGTCCTTGTGGTGATAGAGTATTCGGAAGGAAGCCTCCGTGTTAAAAAAAAACTCGAATTTAAAACCCTGTGGTGAAGTTCGTTAGGATTTTAAGCCCAAAAACAAAATTTCCGTTAATTCTCCGTTAACTTCATTAGCCATGGCTCCACACTCAACGACCAAATTTCCTCCACTGCCACTGCCAGTTACGAAGCACCCAACGAAAGTTTGAAATCAACTTGATTGTTGCCTCCATGTGTTTGCACTGTTTTTTTTATTTGAATAGCTCCAATATCTCTACTAATTAATAAAACACTCATTGTTAACCAAAATCTTATGAAATTACCAGTTTAACCCTCTAATTAAAACATAACATGAATAAGAAATATGGGGCATAAATGTAATTTCACACAACCAAATTTTACTATTTTTTTTTTCAAAACCTCACTTACATATAATCCTAACATATTTCTAATTAAAAAAAAAAAAAAAAAACTTCCTACTCCCACATTCTGTATTACTCTCTTCCTCTCTCCTTCTATTTCAAAAACAAAAATAAAAAAAATTTCTCACACACTTTGTGTGTGCCCATATGCTAGTGTTTATTAATAGAGCAGCAAAACACCGTGCCCCATTTCGCTTCAAAATTTCTTCCAAGTACAGAAAAATGCTCAAGAGTGTGTGTTTTGAGGTTTCCTGTAACAATTTTCAACTAAAACCAAAGAAACTGAAACTTGCACCATAATCCAGAGAAATGGCTTTTACTTTTCCATCCTTGAAAATTCTTGATAAATATAGGCAGCTACTAATGGCAGTTGTCCAATCAAGCTAAGTGAATCCTCAAAAGTTGGCTTCCTGTTACTTTGATTTATGTATCCGCTTTTCATATGCCCTTTGGGATTCACTCTGGAGGGCCATAAGAAAAGTGGTAAACTGGGTCATTGAATGTGCTGTAATAGGCAGAGCATCAATGGCCTTATACGCATAATCTGAAACCACGGCACGAGTCCTCAGTTCCTTGGATCATGCATCTACTCTCTTTGCTAGGTACCTTTCTTGTTTATTTTTTATTTTTATTTTTTTTAACAATTATTTGGACAATTCAAGTTCCTCCATTAACAAAGCGCACAGAAAGGTGCATGAAGTTTGTGACAGACAAATATGACATAAAATGAAATGAAATAAAATAGTTATGAGAGACGGGGAAGGGAAGATTAGATGGCTGTAGCACTGCCGGAGAAGCAAACTAAATTTGCCCCTGAAATCTAATAATTATAATCAGGTCCTTTTGGCGAAGTCACCCGTTTCATCGTTGTCCCTATCGATTCCTTCCAATGTATCATCCAGGCCAAAGCCAGGTTTGTTCTCTCCAAATGGAGCTTCAGGGGTGCCGAAGCTGTTGTCACCACCAACACCGAAGTTATCCCTAGCACCAACACCAAAGTTATCCCCAGCACCAACACCAATACCTTCCTGGTTAGAAGTAGCCACAGAAGACCCTCAGGCAAAGATTCTCCACCTGGCTTTGCAGCTAGTAATACTTTCTGGCATTCTAGAATTGACAAACTTTGAAGCGAATTCCCTCTAATTGAAAAAGAAAAAAGGAACTTAACGAAGAAGCTAACATAAATTTTAATTTTGGGCTTAATTTCTAATGGACTTCACTACAAGGATTTAAATCTGAATTTTTTTACCATATGAGTGATCTTCCGAATACTCTATCACCACGAAAGCCATTTATCCAATTAGACCTAAATAAAGTTACGACATGATTTTTTATTAAAATAAACTTAGTTCAAACTCTTTTTATGAAAGTTCTATAAAGTATATTTACCGTGTTATGTTTGAGTATAATTGTATCCCCATACAATAATTTTATATCATTTTAGTTAGACTTACTTTGTTTCCTTTTTACTTTCGTTGCTTTTTTTTCTTCACATATGCTCGATAAAATGGAAAATTATCAATAACTCCACCACACACTGCATCGTGTACAGTATACTCTGCCTTTATAAAATGGAGAGATTGTGGACCACGCTTGACGAAGCCTCCAAAAATTGACTTGTTCTGTTTTCATTGCTAGGGCCATATGAATTTATGATTTTTAAGCCGATCACCTACTCCATCAACCATATTACCCGAGTTTGTTGTCTCAAAGTAGGCACCATTCAGTGTGTATAAACAAAACAATGTCTGATTACTCTGGTGGAGAATTCCAGTGGTGCGTAGAACGTTTAAGAAGGAGATGGTACATGACAGCTAAGCTGAACATAATCAGTGTGCAAGTCATCACACCTTCCATTAATTTCGTTGCAGATTTTATTGGTGTGACTATAATGGCAACAACTAAATGTTAGGGTGTACTGCCATTTAACATTTTGTGTCAATAAAACAAGGCCATTAGAATAAAAATCTACCATGGAGACGCCGACGACCACGAGACTTCTACTAGCGTAATTAGTCCAAACGGGTCGCTTACGCTTCCAGTTCTTGTTTCTAAGCTGTATGTGGTTTGGTTTCGGAACCTCGGTTAGGGTGCAGGACCAAAGCTGAACACTCAACTAATTACGGCTGCTTGGCCACTAGGTCGTTGGAATACAAGTATACGAGCTATGATCAAGGGACGTCAATTAATGACTATCTTCAACAATGCATAATTTTTAACTTAATTGTTGGTAGACCTATAAACAAGTCGGATTTAGTGAGTTTGGATCGGTTTTAACCTGATCTCTTAAATTAACGGGTCACCCGAACACAACTTGTTAATCTAATAGGTTACTTGTTTAACCCGCTTCACCCGTTAACAATTTTTTTTGTTTTTTTTTAATTTTTAATTTTGCATTTCAAGTTTTAACTTCCAGAGCTTCATTTAAAATCGGTTGTCATGATTTTCTGATGACTATCTTCTTTTGGACCATCAGGACATGGTTTTAATTGCTAGGGCCGTATGAATTTATGATTTTTAAGCCGACCACCTACTCCATCAACCATATTACATGAGTTTGCGGTCTCAAAGTAGGCACCATTAAGTGTGTACAAAGAAAACAATGGATCACTCCTGTGGAGAATTCTAGTGGGGCATAGAACGTGTAAGAAGAAGATGAGACATGATAGCTAAAAGCATCTCCAAAGGAGATGTCAAATTTTAAACATCAAAATTATAAGGTTTTAAAAAAAAAATTTACTGTTGGAAATCCAACAGTCCGTAAAATGTTGCCGCTAGTGGGTTGGTGGGGAAGCCTGACCATTGGGCTATTTAGCATGGTGGAGGTGCTCTTATAGCCATCATGTCCTCACTTAAACTGCACACAAAATTAAGCTTCTTTTTCATCTCCAATGGCAAAACCAAGCTCAGTCAAAGTAGTTGAGGTTTGCAGTGTAGCTCCGAAACCAAGTTCAGGGCCAGACTCTGCCCACCTGGAGGATCTGTCTCTTCCTCTCACCTTTTTTGACCTCCATTGGCTAAGGTTTCCACCTTCTCAAAGCCTTTTCTTCTACGAAATGTCTTCATTCAACGCATCACATTTCTTCGATTCCATACTTCCAAAGCTCAAAACCTCGCTTTCCGCCACCCTCCAACATTTTGTACCACTAGCAGGAAACCTCACCTGGCCTTTAGACTCCCCCGAACCCTTTCTCAGTTATCTCAAAGGCAACACAATTATGCTAACAATCGCTGAGTCTGATGCTGATTTCCACCATCTAATTTCAACCAACAACTTTGACATTGAAGTCAAAGAGTACCATTCTCTTGTACCCCAACTGGCAATGTCTCATGAAAAAGTTGCGGTGCTGGCATTGCAAATAACCGTCTTTTCCAAGGGCGGTTTTTCGATTGGATCAGCTATGCACCATGCTGCCTCTGATGGCTTATCTGCACTCTTGTTTTTCAAAATTTGGGGTCACCTATGCAAACATGGAGGAGGAGAAGAAGGAGTACCACCACCTTTGCCAAGTTACGATAGAAAGGTCATCAATGACCCAGCGGGGCTCCATGAAATCTACTCAAATGACTGGTTAAGATTGGGTGGTCCAAACAATAGAAGCTTACTGCCTTTGGAGGTTAAACGTCCAGGAGACTCAATTCAAGCCACCTTCGAGTTCACGCATGCAAAAATCGAAACCTTAAGGCGGTTAGCGATGAGGACTATGATGACAAAGAATAAGGAGCAAGGTGATCATTCAAAACTATTTCATTTATCAACATTTTCGCTAACATGCGCCTATACATGGGTTTGCTTAGTCAAGGCTGAGGAGACCAAAACAGAGAGAGTATTTTTCATCATTCCTGTGGACTGCCGGTCACGCTTAGACCCTCCTTTACCGCCAACTTATTTCGGGAACTGCATCGCAGGACATCTAGCAGTTGCGGAAACAAAAGACCTATTGGGAGAAGATGGGATGCTTGTGGCCTTGAAAGCAATTCGCGACGTGATAAAAAGTTTGGACAAGACCCTTTTGGAGGGGGCAGAGACTTGGGTATCAAGAATGTTCAATACACTGCAGCCTAATGCCGACAGAATAATTCCCGCTGATGGTTCACCCCGGTTTGAGTTTTATGATGCAGCTGATTTCGGATGGGAAAGACCAACAAAGCACGAGTTAGTTTCGATAGATAAGACAGGGACAATGTCTTTTCAAGAAAGCAAGAATGGTGATGGTGGAGTTGAGGCCGGGTTGGTTTTGAAAAAACATTACATGGAGGCTTTCGCTTCTCTATTTGCTAAAGGCCTTGAAGAAAATTTAACCCACATGCAGTAGCATACTACTAAAGTTTGTTTCTACGCAAATTTCATTTTTTTTTCTTAGTTTAATTTATGTGTCGTCATGTGATTTGCAAAGTTTCATTTCTAATAAAAAAAAATGAATAAACACTCTGAAGAAACTTTGGTGCTAGAGAAAAATCATTGAAATTATTAGCATAATATTCTCTGAACAGTCGTTGATTATACGATCAGACCCTGTTTTTGCTTCAAATGTCAAGTTTAAGAAAGATCAACCAAAAAAAAAAGAGTCACAGAACAAAAACGGGAACCCAAAAGGAACATCCTATATCAATTGAATTGTTTTGAGTATCCAATACTAGAATTCTTTTTCTTTAAGTGCTTAAAAGATCTTGAATTTCTCCACCTATTTTCAATTGATTTTGAGTAAGATACTAACCTTCCCTTGAGTTGGTGTTAGTGCACTTTTAATATTTAAACAAATTAATTATAATTGTCATTATTTGTTGTTACTAGGAAATTAAGATGAAGTAGCTTTTCATATTTTGTAACTCTTGTAACCTTTTTTTATTATCCTACAGCTAAGAACATCTCTAAAGAGATGTCAAATTTTAAACATGATAGTTAATAGCTTATGTGACAATTTGACATTTTGTATAATATTTTGCTCCACCTGATATGTTAAATAATAATGTTATTTCATAAACTTTTTATCTTTTTGTGAAGTCCAATGATTACTGCGACCAATCAAATATTTAAAAAACATAATAACATTTATTGTATATTATATTAATCTATTAAAATATTATTTAATAAATTTAACATCTGCTGTCAAATTTGACAACAAAAGACTTTGTCTTCAAATGACTCAGCGCCACCTAAGAAATTGAAAGCTCGGTTGGAGAGAGTTTGCTGCCATATTTTACTGTTGTATGCCTACATGGCAATTTTGACATCTCCTTTGAAGATGCACTATACTGAACATTATCAGTGTGCACGTCATCACATCTAGTTGCATACTAGCAAAAGAGCCCGCGTTGCTGCAGGTTTACAATTCTGTTTAGACACACTAACAACAATGTTTACATCTCTATTTACTTGTATAAATATGTACATTCATATTTACAATCCCATTTAAACAAATATACTATTCAGAACTTCCGACTCTCTTCATTGAAACTTCAGAGGTTTTTTCCCCTTGCTTAGAAATTGGAATAAAACTGTAATTATTGAGGTGATTTTTTTTAATTGCTAAAAAATTGGATACTTTCTTCAGTTAGTTTTCAAATACATTTAATAAGAAATGTCAAAAACAAATATATGCTGATCTACAAATTTTAAGTACGCCATGAAGAGAAAAATAATAATTACAACTTACACATGTTAAAGCAAACATACGAGGAGAAAGTAGACTCTTCAAATTGCTAATCTCACATTTTCCTCTAAGCTAACCACAATTCTTAGCCTGCATGTATGAATAAAGGTTAGAATTCACATCTTATAGTAAACAGAAATATACTCTCGTTGTGCTAAATTGTGAACTGAGAAAAACAAATGCATAGATGTAGGAAAAGATTTATAAGATCTTAAAAAATGTAAAAAAAAAGGGTAATCATCCTTTTATAAATGCTTTATTATACTTGGTACCTGACCAAACATTGCATCTATGTGTAAAAAAACATGCGGATAGAACTTGAAGTGTTCTTAAAACGCAAACCCAATTGCTTGATGTTTTGAGGCTGCCAACTCATTAGTCATTGCAGCAAATTTGGAATTGAAACATCTTTCGAACCACAGATATCAAGAATTCTCTATAACTGGTGCAAACTTCCCAATATAAATAATAAAAACAAATGCATAATCTTGAGTACCTTGTATACAGTTCCAAAACCGCCTCGACCTATCTTACTACTCGGATGAAAGTCGCGGATCTTAATTCATTGTAGGAGAAAGCCTTGATATTTTCCAGCACATTCTCTATGCAACACACAAAACAATCAATCAATCACAATAACAATGATGATCCGGCAGAATCACATGAAAAAAAAAAAAAACCACAGTACGGAGGTAAAAAAATAACAAAACCAGAAAGTGGGAACATTTAACCGTGTCTGTACCATCAAGATCATGGCCAAATCGACCAGAACCAGAACCAGATTTCCTTTTCCTCTCAGCAACCGAAGCAACAAAGCAGCTGCAACACATATTAACTTGTCCACAATAATCAAATCCTACCTTCTGGGTTCTCTCAAATGTACAGAAAAACAGCTCCCTTTTGATCAAAGAGCCCTCCCTAATCAGATTTGGACCAACCCATGTTGCCAAAATCCTAAATTTCACAACCAAATAATCACAGAAATTTCCTCAAAACACCAAAAGTTCAAACTAATAAAATTTGAAAATTCGAAAAAACGCACCTCATGGATTTGCAGATTACCAATCAAGTTTTGATCTCCTGATTCCCTTTAGCATCTGTTTCTGTCAGCAACCAAGGAGAGCGAGAGAGAGCTTGAAATTTTCCGTTTCCAAAAAAAATGAATTGTTATTAGCACTCCAAAAATCTCATTCTACACTACAAACTTTCTATATTGAGAAATAAATATACACTTATGATTGAATGAGATTTTTGGAATGTCAATACACTTCCCAATATATATATATATATAGATGCTCTTTTATGGAGATTCTGAGACGACCCACTATAGTGGAGGTGCTGGGCGAGTTGATGATGTTCATAACCCCTCTATGGATTGTTGTGATTGTTATTAGGGGTTTTGTTGGGTGGGCGTGGAAGCCCAAATGAGTGAGCTTGGTTGGCCGAGAGCTGTGTAGAAATCAAACGATATCAACGAGGATTTTCAAGATTCCATATGTAAGCAAGAGAGAAGAAATCTACCTTTAGGGGCGTCTGAGTGGTGGCGGTGGCTGCTGGAATTGAGAGAGATTTTTGGTTCCGGGTTTTTTGAGAGAGCTGGAGAGACCAAGTATCTCTACTAGAAGCAGTAGAAAAGCTTTCCACAATGACCAACCAAGGGCAAAATCGCCACCCCACTATAAAATCACATCAAAATCAGAAAACACTGAAGAAAATGAGGGGCAAATCCGTCCGCACACTATAGATCAAATGTAACCCATAAATTGAGTTTTAGTATATATAACTAGAAATTGATGCCCACGCATTGCTGCGGAATTAGAAATTGTATGGAAGATTGATAAGCTAATTCTAAATCATCAAGTTTGAAACTGCATTGCATGACAATCAATTGAAACGTTTTCTCTAAATTATTAAATAGCATTTAGCATAAACTGACTTGCAAGTTCAAATGCAAGAATGCAAATGAAGATAAATTGTGATATTCCATACACATCAAACTTCATTTAGGAAACTGAAAACCATAAAAAATAAATTGATAAACAGACAAAGATGGTTCACAATTATAAATGTTGAATGCTAATAAAACATATAATACAATGATCTCGGTTTCTCTCATAATTATAAAATGTTGAATATAAACAGCATACCCAAATTACCTGTCAAACCAATCAAAATTTCCACTCCTTGGTTAATATCAGAGAATGCCAAATCCAAATCCATGAACCCCACACTATGAACCGATTCCTTACCAAAGTTATAGCAAATATTGTTATCCAATTCCAATAATGCTGTTATAGTACTCCTTAAAAATGCATGAGTTGGTATATCCATCTCTCTCTCTAAGAGTAATTGTTAACAGTAATTATAATAACAGGCTAAAAGCACTGTCAACTATGTTATCAAGGAAAACAAATGTCAATGAGAAATGAAGATAAATGACTTACTGGTGCACTCAAGAAATTGAGAATCATTAGGTGCAAATGGCCTCCGATGGGATCGCCTCCAATTCTCAGGTGCTACTCTGAGGATAGCTTCTGTTCAATACAACTATGCAAGAATAGTCATTCTTCAATACTTAAGCAGGATTGGAAACAGGGAAGTAGCGTATTAAAGCATTAAAATAAGGTTAGTTGGCCAAAAGTTGTTAATTTCTTGTGTAATTAACCAGTTTGAAAAATAGCCATTCTCCAAAATATAAAAAAAAACCTGACAATTTACACTCTTATAGCGAAGGCAATTTTCATAACGTGGATTCCATTTTATAGAAGGCAAGTGTAAATGAATTAATTATGACAGAGATGGCATTGTAGATGCTGGAAATCATGGAACCACAAAGAATCGTGACAGAGAAAAAAAACATTATTTGTCATCAATTCAAGGTAATATAAAAAGAAACTATACATGCGCAGTGGTTAAAGGTACCAATCCTAGGTGATCAGCCAAATAGTGCCTCAAGGTGCTCTTTTGGGGAGCTCATGACTATGCCTTGACCCCTTTGTTTGCCCCCTTGTTGTCTAAAGTCCTGCTCTTAGCTCTTTTCTTGGGGTCTGATCAAATAATTAAAAGTTGTAAATTAGAGCCTAATTAATTTATGTGAACAAAGTAAATCAAGTAAAGGGCAAAGAACAAAAATTAAGAGTTGTAACTTACATTGAAGGCAGATTCAATAATGTCATCGCTGAAATGTTGAAGTATGACTTGGGATTTCCAAAACCAGCAGGGCAGAATTCCTGCAGAAATTAAAGCAATGATATAAATTACCAACCCCAAATATTAAAACTAAAACAAAATTGAAGTTTTTGTGTGAAAATTTAATTGGATTTGTAGGTAATTAATTGCTCAAACAAATAAAAATATAAATTACCAAAACTAATATTGATGAAATGAAGTGATGATCTTGGTTACCTCAAATCGTCCAGAACTGTTAACAGAGGGTACAACACGTGTTTTTATATAAGTGGTGGGAAATTTAATTTTTTAAGTTATTAACTTTTTAGCACACATATCCCACCATTTATATAGTGACACATGGTGTATCATCTCGTGTACCGGTCACACTAAAAAATTTATCTGGTGTACTTACTCAAACTACATACTAAAATGAGCTTCTTTTCCATCTCCGATGGCAAAACCAGGCTCGGTCAAAGTAGTTGAGGTTTGAAGTGTAGTTCCGAAACCAATCTCGCAACCGAACTCCACCCACCCGGAGGATCTGTCTCTTCCTCTCACCTTCTTTGACCTCCGCTGGCTAAAGTTTCCACCTTCTCAAAGCCTTTTCTTAACGAAATGCCTTCATTTGACACATCACACTTCTTCGATTCCATACTTCTGAAACTTAAAACTCGTTTTCCGCCACCATCCAACATTTTGTCCCTCAAACCCCGTCTCAATTATATCAAAGGCGACGCAATTTCGCTCACAATCACTGAGTCTGGTGCTGATTTCCACCTTCTAATTTCAGGTAACAACTTTGACATTGAAGCCAAAGAGTACCACCCTCTTGTTCCCCAACTGGCAGTGTGAAAAATTTGGTGGCAAATACCCGCCTTTCCCAAAGGCGGTTTTTCGATTAGATTAGCCATGCACCATGCCGTCCTTGAGGGCTTACCTGCAATCTTTTTTTTTTTTTTTTTTTTTTTTCCAAATTTGGGGTCACCTATGCAAACATGGTGGAGGAGAAGGAGAGGACCGCCACCATTGCCAAATTACTATAGGAAGGTCATTAAGGACCCTACCGGACTCCAAGAAATCTACTCAAACGAGTGGTTGAGATTGGATGGTCCAAACAATAGAAGCTTAATGCCTTTGGGGTTACAGGTCCAGGAGACTCAATTTGAGGCACCTTCGAATACACTCGCGCAAAATTTGAAATGTTAAGGCGGTCAGTGATGAGGACTGTGATGGCAACGAATAAGAAACAAGCTGATCATTCAAAACTATTGCATTTGTCGACATTTTCACTAACATGTGCCTATACATGTTGTGTTTGGCTCATATACTTATGTTGGCAACAATTTTGATAGTGTAACTTTATGAATGCTACAAGGAAATGGCAACAGCCATTTATGACTTTGTGTTTGGCTTTTGGTTGTGGCATGGAAGTCTTGTTTCAAGAGAAGACATGGTGACTGCCACAAGCAAAGTTGGAAGCAAGCAAGTCTTGACTTTGTGTTTGCTTGCATGCAATTGTGCATGTTTTATTTTCTATGCATTAAATGGCAAATGGAGAAAAAGTTGTACTCTATAGGCTAGGTATAGAAAAGGGTGTGTGCATCCGGAGGAGAACACAAATGGAGAAATAGTTCTGCAAGTGTGTGCATCCGGAGGAGAACACAAAGGAGAGAAAATAGAGGGTGAGAGTGAGAAACTCTTGGGGTAGAGTGAGACTCTTGGGAAAATTTTGTGAGTGTACAAGGGATTGGGGTTTGGGTTATGTCGATTTAACTCAAGTGTATCTTGTACTAGTTATTCTCATAGTGAATAGCAATATCTCTCCGGGGACATAGGCAGGATTTTGCTGAACCTTGTAATTCTCTTAGTGTCATTATTTCTTGTTTTTTAAACTGTTCAACTGTGAGTTTGTATTTTGGTGAAATAATCTGAATTTGGTTTCACACTGACTGGCCAGAGCACAACAATACATGGGTTTCTTAGTCAAGTATGAGGAGACCAGAACAGAGAGAGTATTTTTCATCATTCATGTGGACTGCCAGCGTGCTTAGACCCTCTTCTACCGCCAACCTACTTCGGGATTTGCATCGAAAGACATCAAGCAATTGCAAAAACAAAATACCTATTGGGCGAAGACGGGGATGTTTGTGGCCTTGAATGCAACTAGTGCCGTGATAAAAACTTTGAAGAAAACCCTTTTGGAGGTGGACAGGTGTCAAGAATGTTCAATACACTGCAGCCCCGTGCTGAAGAATAATCCCCACGACAGATGCGACATCCAGGATATCTTTTCAAGATAGCAACAATGGTGATTGTGGTGTTGAGGTTGGGTTGGTACTGAAAAAACATTACATGGAGGCTTTTGCTTCTCTACTTGTTAAAGGTCTTGAAGACGAGTGTCTTCAGTCTTCGTTGTTTTTATGTATCACACTATGATTTGCAATTAAGTAGAAATGAGTTCTGATTCATTTGCACATAAAAAATAAATGACGTGCTATTTATCATTGAGACATTCATAAAAAAGTCCAGTCTTCTGATTGAAAAATATCAAACACTCTTGAAACATTGGTGCTATAGTAGAAAACAAGTGAAATCATTAGCTTATGTTCACTAAACAGTAAGTGATTACATGATCAGACTTTACTCCTTCAAAGGACAGCTTTAATATAATTCCATGAGAAAATTTCCAATAGAACTTTTTTGTCGGAGGAAGAATATGAACTACGTTTTTGGAGAAGAAGATAAACGATGACAAAATATTAGGGTTTTTGAGGGTGTAATTAAATAGAAATCTTATCTTAGGTTTCAAAATATATCATTTTCTACTTTACAATGTATACTAGAACTCAATTTTTTGTTTGAAAACGGACGGTTGTAATTTAATCTGGGGGCCATGGTTATGCAAAACAAGATTCATTGGTATCATGACAGCACGAAAAAATGTGTATGGACCCAAATTATTAGAGTAGGATTCTCCCCCTTCTATATTCCGATACTTACAGTCCCCTCAATCACTTTCTTTTTTATCTTTCTCTTTCTATAAAGAAGTCAACAAAAGATATTGATGTGGCTTAATTGCGATCTTTCAAGTAAGAGGGGATTAGAAGGGAGAAGAATTTGGAGAGAAGAGAATCACACTCTCAAAATGTTTGCATGCAATAAAGGTATGATATTTGAAGTATGAGGAAGAATATCAGACAGATTTGGGAAAATTTAATTTCCTATCCTATGGATATAATTTAGATAAGGTGGCTGCTAAATATAAAAGGCAAGAAGACCCGAGAAAAACTAAGCCGAGGATCGGTATCAAATTCCATTCGGAAATCAAAACAACCTTAAAAAGTTTCCTATGTTTTCAAAACGAGGAGGTACCAAAACCGATATTATTGCTCAGAAAAGCAAAAATCTTACAAGATTTTCTCAACTTCCCCACGTAAACATGGAAACCCTTAAAAAATGGAAACACATCCGAACCAGGCTATGATTAAAGGGCCGATTGAAATGCGTTTATTCACAGCAATTTTACGACCAAATCATGGCAAACATTTGCTCTCTTGCTCTCGTTGTGTATGCAGTCTGTTTTTCCGTGTTGATTCCGCAGGCCACCTCCCAATCATTCCTCTTCCCGGAAGCTCAATCCACCATCCTCCCCGACCCTTCAACCTTCTTCGCCCCAAACCTCCTCTCATCTCCACTCCCTACCAACTCTTTCTTCCAAAACTTTGTTCTCAACAATGGTGACCAACCTGAGTATATCCATCCCTACACCATGAAATCATCCAACTCCTCCCTATCTCTTGCTTACCCGTCTTTCTCCTACACCTCTACCGTCATATCCACAACTCCGTTTCAACCCGACCTCACCATATCTGGCTCGAAAACCACCACCATCCCAGATCCAAACAACGACCACCATGTAGTCTCCGACTTCAATGATCTTAGTGTGACATTGGACTTTCCCTCCTCCAACCTCCGCTTCTTCCTCATCCGTGGAAGCCCCTATCTCACATGCATTGTTTCTCAACCCACACCGGTTTCTATATCAACCTCTCATACAATTGTATCGTCATCATCCGCAAGTGGCTCAAACACCAAGTTCATCATCAAGCTTGGCAACGGTCAGACATGGCTAATATACACATCCTCCCCAACTGATTTAACTGCCAGCGGCGCATCCTCATTAACTTTTAACAATTTTTCTGGGAACATTCGAGTTGCTGTTATGCCAGATGCTAATCCCAAATCCGAGGCAATTCTTGACCAATTCAGTTCTTCTTACCCAACTTCTGGGGCAGCTGTGCTCGAAAACTCCAATACTTTGACATATAAATGGGAAAAGACAGGTGGAGATTTGCTCATTGTAGCTCATCCTCTCCATCTTATGCTTCTGTCAAATGCTACTGTTTTGCAAGATTTTAAATACAAAAGCATTGATGGCAATTTGGTTGGCGTTGTTGGCGATACGTGGGTTTTAAACTCGAAACCTATTCCGGTCACTTGGAATTCTATTGGAGGTGTCAAAATAGATTTGTTCCCTGAAATCATTTCTGCGCTTCGTCGAGATGTAGACGCACTTAGTTCAACAGAATTATCTGCTGCATCATATTTTTATGGGAAACTAGTTGCTAAAGCAGCAAGGCTGGCTTTGATTGCCGAGGAGGTAGCTTGTCCCGATGTGATCCCGGCAATTAGGACATTCTTGACAGAGAAAATCCAGCCGTGGCTGGATGGTACTTTTAGCGGCAATGGATTTTTGCATGATAAAAAGTGGGGTGGACTTGTTACCAAACAAGGATCAACTGATAAAGGTGCCGATTTTGGGTTTGGTCTTTATTCCGATCACCATTACCACCTGGGGTACTTTGTTTATGGTATTTCAGTGCTAGCAAAGATTGACCCTGCATGGGGCGAGAAGTACAAGGCTCAAGCTTATTCGCTCCTGGCAGATTATCTCAACAAGGACAAGCAATCAAATCCAAATTATACGCGTCTGAGATGTTTTGATCTTTATAAATTGCACTCGTGGGCAGGAGGAGTGACGGAATTCGCAGATGGGAGGAATCAAGAGAGCACGAGTGAGGCAGTCAATGCTTACTATGCAGCTGCTTTGATGGGGAAAGCGTATAATGATCCGCAACTTGAGGCCACCGGTTCATTGTTTACCACATTGGAAATTCAGGCAGCGCAAATGTGGTGGCATGTGAGAGAGGGAGGAGAGAATCAAACTTACGAGCAAGATTTTGCAAAAGATAATCGGGTAGTGGGAGTTCTATGGTCGACCAAGAGAGACAGCGGACTTTGGTTTGCTGCTGCAGAGGCAAAAGAAATTAGACTTGGAATTCAAGTGATGCCTATTTCACCAATCACTGAGGTGTTGTTCTCCGATACTGGCTTTCCTAGCGAGCTGGTGAATTGGGCATTGCCAGCGCTCGGTAGAACGGGAGTCACGGAAGCCTGGAAAGGGTTTGTGTATGCATTACAAGGGTTATACGACAAAGCAGGCGCTTTGGAGAAGATTAAGAGCTTGACTGGTTTCGACGATGGAAACTCCCTCAGTAATCTTTTGTGGTGGATTCATAGTAGGTCATGAAGTTTTCAATGAGTTTATATTTCTTCGTTTTTGGTACAAGTATTATCGCTGAGTTTATATAACTAAATAAATAAAAATAATTTCAGTACAACATATTGTATATTTTTCATCTAAACTTACCTTCTCGTGTTTTAACACAAAAAATTGTAGTGTTGTTGATGTAAAACAACATTTTTTTCATCTGATTGTAACTTACAATTTGTAAGGAACAACTTAGATAGACAAAAAAATGGAATTCAAAAGCGAATCTAAGGGATATAAATGAGAGAAGTTTTTCTATATACACGGAATATAAACAGGTACACCACGTGTCATAATATAACTGAAGAGCAGTTATATATATATATATATATATATTTTTTTTTTTTTTTCGTTTCTTTGTACTTATATTATGACACATGATGTATCCGTTGTGTTGCAAGTACATCGAAAAATATCTCAATGAATGATTTCTCTAAATTTTCATGTCATGTATGATAGGATACGGGTTCCTTTCTTGAATAACGTTGTCTTTTCCCTAAGGGGCATAGTGACTAGGGATGACAATTCTAACCGTTAAACCCGACAACCGTGGATAACCATCCGAATGGATTAGATTTGAATATGAAAATTCGGGTATGGTATGGATATGGGGAAAAACTGTGAACTTTATTTGGTTATGGTTTTGGATATGGTTATAGGGGTCCCTAATCCATATCCATCCCCAAATCCAACCCGAATATTATATATATATATATATATATATATTTGATATATAATATAATTTTACCTTCCCTATATTAATTCATTATGCATGCATCAAACCCTATACTATTTTTATTATGCACCAAACATCATGCATGGGGCATACCAACAACCTCATTAATTCAATACTCTTATTGTTATACTCAATCAAATTAATTCATTGAATCGTTTTATATATCAATTATCAAATGTTACAAGTTTATCAATTCATCTCTCTTTAAGAGTCTCACTGTCAAGAAATTGATGCATGTTATCATAAACAACTTCAAATATATTGTTATGTTTTTTGTAATTGGATGTTGCTATTTAATGACGGAATTAGTATCTACTCAAATTTATAATGCGTCAATTTGATGAATATAATTTTTTTTTGTTTTTTGACGAAGATGGATATAACCGATAACCAATTGAAAATCCGTTACCCGGTGGATATGGTTATGGATAATTCCCAATGGTTAATTTGCGGTTATGGATATGGTTAATTTTCATGGTTATGGGGATGGATATAGCATTTCCGTCCCCAAACCGAACTGTTGCCATCCCTAATAGTGACATATGATTAGAGGTAAGTGGTGGATTGCTCTAATAGATAGGTCTTCTTCTTCAACTCTCTGCGTCCCAAGTTCGAACTCCACTCCCTTTAGTTTAGATAAATTTAATGTAGATTATATATTATTTGTCAAAGAAAGAAACGTATAATTAGAGAATTGTAATCAAAAGCTTCTACAATACTTTAATAAAAAAAAACCTTTAGTTTTTATTATTGAGGACACAAACAAACACAAAAATAAAACCTCACGCATACAACTCCGCTCCTAAACCCTTTGATAAAGAAAAGTTTATCTTGATCAAAAAAAAAAAAGTAAGTTTAATTATATATAAGAATAATGCTTGTGTTATATATAAGAATAATGCTTGTGTCCTTCTACGAAGACATATTTGTTCTCCACTTACGATTAATAAATTTTTACTGTCTGAACATTATATTGGTAATCACTCATTCTTTTTATCATCATCTAATATTATATCTACAAAAAAATCATTCAATTTGGAGATCGTTTAATGATCATCGATATATGTTAAATCATTCAACAGTTTCAATAACAAGTAGCATTCTCATGATAAATTATCAGTTTGTTTTATGTATACAAATGAATGTCAAATTGAATAACTTTTTGCATATGTTATCTTTAGATGAAGATAAAAAAATGAACGGTTTTGATTACGATGTATGAACAATAAAAATTCGTTAATTGTAAATGGATGGACAAGTAAGTCCCCATAAGGGGACATAACACGTTGGGTAATATGCCCCTACACACTCTGACTTTTATAGAATTTTATAGACTTTTCTATAGAGTTAAAAAAAAAAAAATTAGACTTTTGTGTGAGGGCATGCCTTGTAGAGTTCAATAAATTCAATAGAAAGTTCTATGCATGTCTATAAGACAAGTCTATAATGTGTATAAAAATCATTGAAAACTTGCAAAGACTAGGAAAGTATGTTACTTGACTTCAATGTTACTTATAATTTAATGTTAGCTTTAACCTTTATTGTGACATCCCACATCGTTCAGGGGAGTGATCCTTATATGTATATTCTCATCCCTACCTAGCACGAGTCCTTTTGGGAACTCACTGGCTTCGGGTTCCATGGGAACTTCAAAGTTAAGCAAGTAGCGTATGAGAGCAATCCCATGATGGGTGACCCACTGGGAAGTTGCTCACGAGTTCCCAAAAACAAAACTGTGAGGGAATGGCAAGCCCAAAGCGGACAATATCGTGCTACGGTGGTGGAGCGAGCCCGGGAAGTAATCTGCCCCGGGGCGGGATGTGATAATTTGGTATCAGAACCTAACCCTAGTCTTCTGTGTGCCGACGAGGACGTCGGGCCCCTAAGAGGGGTGGATTGTGACATCCCACATCGCCCAGGGGAGTGATACTTATATGTATATTCCCATCCCTACCTAGCACGAGGCTTTTTGGGGGCTCACTGGCTTCGAGTTCCATAGGAACTTCGAAGTTAGGCGAGTAGCTCACGAGAGCAATCCCATGATGGGTGACCTACTGGGAAGTTGCTCATGAATTCCCAAAAACAAAACCGTGAGGGAATGGTAAGCCTAAAGCGGACAATATCGTGCTACGATGGTAGGAGCGGGCCCGGGAAGTGATCCGTCTCGGACGGGATGTGACAATTGGTATCAGAGCCTAACCCTCGTCATGGTGTGCCAACGAGGACGTTGGGCCCCTAAGGGGGGTGGATTGTAACATCCCACTTTGCCTAGGGGAGTGATCTTTATATGTATATTCTCATCCCTACCTAGCACGAGGCCTTTTGGGAGCTCACTGGCTTCGAGTTCCGTAGGAATTCCGAAGTTAAGCGAGAAGGGGGCTAGAACAATCCCATGATGGGTGACCCACTAGGAAGTTCTCGTGTGAGTTCCCAGAACCCAAAGCGGACAATATCAGTGCTACGATGGAGTCGGGCCCAGGAAGTGGTCTCGTCCTGGCCCTGACTCCACCGTAGCACGATATTGTCCGCTTTGGGTTCTGGGAACTCACACGAGAACTTCCCAGTGGATCACTCATCATGGGATTGCTCTAGCCCCTTTCTCGCTTAACTTCGGAGTTCTACGAAACCCAAAGCCAGTGAGCTCCCACAAGGCCTCGTGCTAGGTAGGGATGGGATAATACATATAAGGATCACTCCCCTGGGCGACGTGAGATGTCACATCGCTTCTATCCCATCTATCAAAACTATCGTGCTTCATCGGTCTTCCCCATCCGAAATCAGCTGCAGCATAAAAATCAAACTGGTGTAAACCGGAAATGAGAATTATTCTATCAATACTCCTGGTCTGTAGTGTGTTGAGCGTTCTTGAAACCTAAGTCTCTACCCCATCTAAAAGGGTCTTGTCCATACTTTTTATCACTTCACTGATTGTTTTCAAGGCCACAAACAGGTCATCTTCTCCTAATAGGTCCTTTGTTTCTGCAACTGCTCGATGTATTGCAACACAATTCCGAAAATAGATGACCTGGAGATGAGGGTCTAAGCGTGGCTTGTGGTTTGTGCTAATGACAAAAGTACTTTATCTGTTTTGGTATGACCTGTTAAATTTCAGGTAGACAGGCCGAGGGCCCACTCTAACAACATCGATACTGTCCCCACTTAATCACTTGCTCAATCTGTCAGGTGTGGGGTTTTATCACAAAAGATCTCGGTGTAAGTTAGAGTGGGGTAATTCTATAAATGCTTGTTCTTAAGCCTTCTGGCCGATGTGAGACAGAGGAATTCTAACACTCCCTCGCACGTAAGACCTCATTTTATAGGTCACACGTGAAGTTCCACACATCGGCAACCATGTGGAGCCAAACCGGGGTTCACCTGTTCGCGCGGGGCCAATGGGGACCCACCCATTCAAGTGGCATCTCTTGGCTTACGTGGAGCCAAGTTCGGGCTCACCAGTTTACGCGGGGTCAAAGGGGACCCACCCATTCACGTGGATGTACGGGCCCGTCTCCTAACTCTAATACCATTTTAAATTTCAGGTAGACGGGTTGAGGGCCCACTTTAACAACATCGATAATGTCCTCACTTAACCACCTGCTCAATCCGTCAGGTGTGGAGTTTTATCACAAAAGGCCTCGGTGTAAGTAAAAGTGGGGTAATTCTATATAAATGGCTTGTTCTCAAGCCTTCTAGCCAATGTGGGACAGAGACAGAGGAATTCTAACATCCTCTACCTCACAAAGCAAGCCCATGTATAAGCGCATGTTAGCGAAAATGTTGACAAATGCAATAATTTCGAATCATGATCAGCTTGTTTCTTTTTCTCCTCCACCATCATAACTGCCATCACTGAACGTCTTAGCATTTGGATTTTCACGCCTGTGAATTCGAAGGTGCCGTGAATTGAGTCTCTTGAACCTTTAGCCTCCAAATGCATTAAGCTTCTATTGTTTGGACCGCCAATCTTAACCACTCGTTTAAGTAGATTGCTTGGAGCCCTGCAGGGTCCTTGATGACCTTTCTATCATAACTTTGTGAAGGTGGCGATCCTTCTCCTTCCCTTCCTCCATGTTTGCATAGGTAACCCTATAAGTTAAAAAAATGAAAATGCAGATAAGCCATCTAGGACAACATGGTGCAGGCTGATCCAATTGAAAACAACTATTGGGAAAGACGGTTATTTGTAATGCCAACACCGCAGCTTTTTTATGAGACACTGCCAATTGAGGTATAAGAGGATGAT